TTTTGTTCGCCCCTAAATTTCTCAATGTGGATTCCGCACGTAATATTTTTGCCCTCAAATTTCTTATATTTCCAAGTAGGAAATGATATTTTGGAGTAGATTTTTTTCTCATTCGTATATAAAGTTCATTAAATACAGGAGAATCCTTTTTTTTAATTAATAATATATAACTTTTTTTATCATTTTATTCAATGATATTTAGACAAAATATATAGTTAAATTGACATAGTTTTATGATGACGGACAAAAATTCATTAATTTAAAGATAAATATTTTCTAATAGAAGTTTTAAGGTCTATATTACTCTTTCTTTTTATGCTAATTCTAAATTTTTATAGGGTGTTTGGAATCATTTTTAACTTTTTTTTCTAATTTAATTATTTATATCTTTTTTATTTGTTTTCTTACAAAAAGATAATTATATGAATAGTTATTATTAAATGAATTATTTTTATACTCAACCCTCGTTATGAATAATTGTTAATATTTGAGGAACGGAGTGTCAAAGCTTAAAAATGTGAGTTACAGAGTTACATGTAATCACCAATATACAAACTTATGATGTTTAAGGAGATGGGTTGTAAAATTAAAAAAAAATGAGAATTAGATTCAATTTCTATCATGCAAAATTACCATGAATATGTGCTCAAATATACTATGAATAATCATTATTAGAAGAGTCATTATAATGTGAAATGCATTAAATTTGTATAACTAGCTCATATTTTTAATGATATTATTTTCAGAATGAAATGATATGTAATCTAAAGCAGAAGACGGAAAACTTGTCATCAAAGAATATTCAATCAATCAACCTTGAATTTTAATCCAATATCTAGATTTAAAACTTTGAAAATTAAATTCAAAATTATTTGATTTTCAATTTTAGCCAATTTATAATAAAATTAAATATTTTTATAAAATTAACCCAAGAAAATGAGAGTGATTTGATTCGAGTCCAAATGATCCTAAATCAAATACTTGAAGTATGGTTAAGAATCTCAAGACATTTAACATGCTTATACTCCAAAGTAGTGTTTTAATGCGAGAAGTTTAATAAGCCTAAATTTTAAGGTCATCAAAGCACCTAAAAAATAAATGAGTTAACTATAATCAAAAGATTCAATATTGGTTGTCTAATAAATTATTTTAAAATCTTACTCAAAATAATTAAAATTTCACTAAATTCTTATTCCTTACATTAGTTGGCAATAAAGTTAAAGTTAGAGGTAACTTGGTGATTTAAAAAATTCTAGATCTCTTCTTGATGATTAATGCCAAAAAATATTATAGTTATACAATTATCATTGTCTTGCTGCAATTTTTTTATCATCATTGTTCGACCATTTCATCACTTGAGCATCATGTCATGACCATGACTACCCCATTGTAATATATTAATCATTATTGTTAAATGATCATCTCTAAATCATAATCAAATAATTATCATCCCCTAATTATTGTTCCCTGACCACTTAGCCCAACTGCCATCATTTGAACAAAATTGTAATTGCTTCCAAAACCTTTATTACAATCTCCAAAGTTCTAGAAAGTGATATAAACTTGGTAATTCTATATTCTCTAACTATAATAAATGTCAGTGTATACATTTGAAGGTCAATTATCTTTGCATACTTATAGTGAGAAAGAGATAAATTCCTATTTAAAAGTTTCTAGAGATATGCTTGATTAACAATAATGACTATTATAATTATACATTCATCCTTGTCTGATTGCAACATCCAGATCACCATTGCTCGACCATGTTATCACAATCATCATCTTCTAATTATTATTGACTAACTTTCATTGCTCGATCACTTTCTCACTAGTATCATCTCTTAACAAAATTCACTAACATCTTGTAGCCATAATTACTCGATCATCATGTCGTGACCGTCATTGCCCAAGTTCAATATATCAATCTTTATCTCACAATCATCATCTATCGGTTGTTATCTCTTAATTGCCATCTCTAAATTATGTTCAAATGATTTTTTCCATCTAATTGTTACTCTCTAACCACCACTTAGCTCAACTATCATCGTTTGACCACAGTTGCCATTGTTCATTACCTCTTTCACCATCTTTATTATAATTTCAAAAGATAAGACAAGTGATACAAAATTTATAATTCTATACTTTTTTAATTATTAAAAACCTCTAAACATTCATTAAAGATTCAAAATATCTTTGATCCCTAACATGTTTATAGTCAAAAGGAGCATTTCAATGTGATAAGTCTAATGAGCCTAAAATTTAAATTCATCAAAGCACCTAAATGCCAAATGAGTTAACTATAATCAAAGAATCAATATGGGTTGTCTAAAAAATTTATTATTATTATTTTATTATGATTCTATTCAAGAGAATTAAAATTTTACTCTAAAAAACTATAAATAAAATATTATTCCTTACATGAGTTAACAATATAGTTAAAATTAGAGATAAAGTGGCGATTTAAGAAAATCTTAAGCTATGCTTGATGATTAACATTAATGAATATTGTAGTTATACAACCATCACTGTTTTTCTACAACTTTCCAATTATCATTGCTTGATCATTATATCCCAATCATCATCTTCCAATCCATAATAATTTATATTCATTGCTCGATCACTATCTCACAAGCATCATCACTTAATTGGTTTCATGATTAATTGACATCTGATAGCCTTTATCTCTTATCATCATGTCTTGAGCATCATTAATCAAGTGTAACATGTCAACCATTATCACTCAATCATCATTTTTGTGGTTGTTATAACATTAATATTCCATTTTCTATTCATAATCAAATGATTTTCATCATCTAATTTTTATTCCTTAACCACTTAACCTGACCTCCATTATTTGACTATAGTTTCCATTGTTCATTACCTCTTCCTTAACCTTTTTTTACAGTTTTGGAAGATAAGACAAGTGATACAAACTTTGTAATTATATATTCTCTAATTATTAAGAAGAGAAAACTTCCATAGCCTCACATATAGAATCAAGTATTTAAACTATGTTAGGCCTCTGGATTTTTTTTAAGCTTATTCAAATAATGATCTAGTATCTTCTAAGAAACACTTCTTTTATTTTTATGTGTGCTAAATATCTATATAAAATTTAAATGTAAATGTCTCACTTTACTATTTTTAGTTATTTTAGCACACAAAACAACTCAATAATGTATCAGTTAAAATTGCTGCAAATCTCTTGAAACAATGAAAACTAATGCAAATTGAATATCATTAGTGGTTTTGTGGGAATTAAAACTCTTGTTAAAGCCTTTTTTGGTTTAGCAAAATGTATAAATAAATCCTTCCTACAAAAATTATTCTTGAATATGTACGTATGTATGTATGCACAAACATATTAGGAAAGAGAGTGCGTTTATGATCAAGTTTATGAAACTAAAGAAGAATCAATTAAAAGAACATAATAGTATTTAGATGATTGATAAAGTTCATCTATGTTCACAAACACCTAAGAAAAAAGATATACTAGCTAAGAGAAAAATACATGATAAAATTAGTTTCTTATATCATAATTTAATTTTAGTTAATTCACTAGTATTATTCCTCTCTCTCTCTCTCTCTCTCTCTCTCTTTTCACTAGTATTATTCCTCTCTCCCTCTCTCTTCTCTCTCTCTCAAAATGTAAGCAAAATATGCTCAATCAAGATAACGAAAAATATATAATCTCTTACGTACAATGGACCACCAACTTTTATGACAATTATAGATTTGTTTATTTTAAAGTTATTTAGCTTTCACATGTCCCTTGGACCTTTAGTGCTCAATGTTGATCACTAGAAAGTTTTTTGTTTATGATATATCCCAAGATAACTACTAACCCTTAATTATATTATTGTCTTTTTTTTTCTAACCTACAACTTTATATTATTAAGTAAAAATGAAGAATGAGTAATAAGTTTTAACATAATGTGATTATTTTCTTGTTCAATATTTTAAAGTGACAAACAACATTAGTTAAATGACATTGAATGCTAGATAACATAATTATAGAGGTTTAATGATCTTTTAAGAAAATATGAAAAATACATAAAATAAATTCCTATAAGTGATTTTAAATTTAAAATAAAACCAGTAAGAAAATTGTTTTATATCTCATTAATGTAATAATCTCACTAAAACTTTTAATAATTTAAATATATATTTTTTTATAAAAAATAAAAGAAAATGCATTTATGAAGGGGCTATTTGGTCTGAAGCATTCTTTGTGTAAAATAAATCAAAGGTAGGGGTTTCTAATTTTGGGGCGTCTGATTTGAAGATCAATAAATGCAAATTAATCTTTAAGGTGTTTATAATTTTTTATTTACTTTTTTTTTAATGTATTTAAAAATTGTAAGATTTATGTCAATTTTTAATACATTAAAAATGTGAAGTTTAGCTTGTCTGCAGCTAATAAAAATTTCAAAGGCATTACAAGCAACTAAACACATAAAAAAAAAAACTAAACTCCTTAAATTTTATTACAAATAATTAAATACCAAGAAATTACTATAAAAAAATATAAGTTTGAATCATATTTCATCTACTTTTTCTTAATTTTTAAAAAATTACTAACAAACAAACTCTTCCAAATGTGAATCCTATAATTTCAGATTGTTTGATAGAAGAACTTTGTATCTCAAGCTTCTAAAATTCATAGCGTTAACATTGACCAGTAACTTGCTCCACATCACCAAAGAACGCGGTACAATCTGTAAATTCCTCCAACCCCCTGCCCCTTTTAAAGCTGTTGATCCAACCCATCATCATTTCTTATTTCGTTGCAGCTCGCCTTCCCATTCAACAGGATAGAAAGGAAACAGAAAAGGCTGAGCAAATCTGAAGTAGAGAAGAAGAAGAAGAAGAAGCTAGATGAAGATACAGTGCGACGTGTGCGGCGTCGAGCAGGCCTCCATCCTCTGCTGCGCCGATGAGGCCGCTCTTTGCTCCGGCTGCGACGGCCGCATCCACTCTGCTAACAAACTCGCCGGAAAACACCGCCGTTTCTCCCTCTTTCTCCCACCCTCCCGTCCCCTTCCTCTCTGCGACATCTGCAAGGTTACTCTTTTCGCTCTCCGTTTAATCTGAAAACAGTAAAAATGCGAACTTTGGGGGGGTTGGAGACATGAAATCGGATAAAAAGAAGCGATTTTTGGTTTCTGTGCTGCAGAAAAAGAACGGCTTTGTTTTCTGCCAGGAAGACAGAGCAATACTCTGCAGAGACTGCGACGTACCCATCCACAAGGCCAACGTCCACGCGGGCCGCCACAGCCGCTTCCTACTCACCGGAATCCGCCTCTCCTCCTCTCCGATCCCTTCTTCTGAAGACAAAGATGATTTGAACACTAAAATCACAGTTGCAGAGGAAAAGCCTGTGTGCAGAACAGCAGCCACTAAGGTAAAAGACGAAGGCGGCGGCGGCCCCTGTAGTGGTGGAGGTGGGAGCAGCATAACGGATTACTTGATGAAGATGTTGCCCGGGTGGCGCGTCGATGATTTCTTATTCGATGATCCCGCCGCCGGCGAGAAAGAAGCAGTCGCCGGACTCTGGAAGGTAAGATTTTTTTTTCCCATCTTCGTTCTCTGAAGCTTATTAGAATGATTTGGAATATGAATAATGAGATATGCTCGGCACGTGGTTGCAGGTGCATGGAGCTCAGCCACCCGTTAATGTATCTCTGTTCACTTCGGCTAGTTTGAATGCCACCACTGAAGTGGCGGGGTCGCCGGAGATGCAATGGCGTCCACTGATGAGCTCTGAAGAGGTTAGTCGAGCTTCGTGGAGCGAGGAGGAGGCCTCCATGGTGCCGGAATTGACCCCATTTCACTGTAATTACAAAAATAATAAGAGACCCAGGACTTCACTCTGGTTCTAAATGCTCTCAAACGGATCTAGTCCTGCCCTTTCCTTTTCTTTTTTTTTTTTTTTTTTTTTTTTTACGGATCTAGTCCTGCCCTTTCCTTTTTATTTTTTATTTTTTTTTTGTTTTTTTAAGCGATGATTTTGTAATTTTGACTTTTTTTTGGTTTCGAAAGACATAATTCGGAACCATTAAGAGTTTTGCTTGATCTATGAAGCTTGATTAAGAATCTCCTCCTTATTATTTTAATTTTTCAGTGATTTATTTTATTCAAATATTTTTGAAATATTTTATAAAATTGATGCATGTTAATTATGTCATGAACATAATGAGGAAAAAAAAGGCAGCAATTAAAATATGGGGTAGTTAATTCTCTTAACCCAAAATTCACTGTATTTCTATGATTTTAAGGACATGATATTTTTAAATAATAATAAAAAAAATAAAATGGCAAAAATTTCTATTTTAGAAAAGGATATATATAATTTTTAAGCTATTGTCATAGAATATACTCCACAAAAATGACTTTTTTAATAGAAGTTTAGCTTTATGACATTTCACTATCATATGCCCACTAATTTTCTTTCACATTTATTTCTTAATTGATTTACATCGAGTGGCATATGCATGACTCATCAGATATTTTTTTTTATATTGAATAATGCCTTTATTTCTTTTTTTTTTTTTGTAAATATATTACTTTTCCTTATCCAACAAATAAAAAAAAATGGTTTCTAATTATCTTTTATAAAAATTAATTGAGTAATTCTACTATTGAACTTAGATTTATCTGAGGATCACACCCAAGGTATAGAGCTCAAATAAGGAGGAAAGGATAAAAACGGAGACAAAGAAGACCATAAAAAGAGAAGCTTAAGAGCATTAGAAGCGTCGGCAATCTATCCTGTGCTATTTTCGAAAAGTTTTTTTTTTCTTTTTTTTCTTTATTCCCATTTACATGCTGTTTTCATATTTATAGTAAGCACGAGCTACATTGTGAAATTAAGATAATATCGTTGTAATTTTCTCTTGTCGGTTGGTCGTCGTAACTGTTAATGTAACTTTTATCATGGCTAAATCGTTACATGTGGAGCCTTCATCTCGCTTACTCCTATATTAGAGAATTATTCGTCTATTCATTCATCAAGGACCATTTGATTAGATTTAATGTACTTTGATCATACAACTACATTCTTTAACATATATATATATATATATATATGGTTGATGAATTAAATTTATGAAATTATTATCTGCATCTTATCATACACTTAAATGGCATAAAAATTTAAAATTTAAATAATATTGGGGGAGAGTTATAGCAATTAAAAATATATTGTTTATAGCCAGAAACAAGCTGGGAGACATTCAGCAGAATTTGCTAAACAAAGCCACATTATTTGTCTTTTCATGGTGCTTACATTGAGGGAACTGCGCTATGACAGCACACCCGCCCCAAAATTTATAATTCATAAAAGGCTTTGCCTTCTTCCTTAAGATAGCTACTTATTCCAAAAAGTGTAATAATGTAAATTTGTAATTGCATTATTAATGTGACATATGCTAAAGTGGAAAAGGCATTTCATTTGGCAACGTAGAGATCGAATCTCTTACGATGATCAAATGTTAATTATATTGCAGCATTTAGGGCCTTCAAAAAAGCTCGTTGTTCGCGAACCGTTCGTGTTCGGTTTGTCAATGAGTTCATGTTCGATTTGTTTGATAAGTAAATGAGACGAACGTGAATGAAATATAAAATAATATAAAATAATTATATATAAAAAATTTATTATATTTTAAAACATTAAATTTTATGAATTATAATATATAATAAAATAATAATAATAATATATTAATATACTATAGTAGTAATATACTAATATAGATATTGTATATTTATATAATATAAGTTATATAATTAATATATAATATTATTTTTATATATTAATATTATGGATGTCAAACTGGCTAGTCGTTCGCGAACAACTCGTGTCCGGTTCGTGTTCGACTCGTTCGTTAAGAAACGAACACGAGCTTATTTCACACAAACTAAATTTTAAACGAACCGAACACGAACACAAGCTTTGTTCGTTCGTGTTCGGTTCGTTTACCCCCCTAGCAGCATTAAAGCTTATTCTTTCTTTTTAGATTTTATGTGTCGCTATTTATGATAGGAAGTAGGTTTAATTGATGTTTTTTAAATTTAAATTTTTAAAAATAATAAAATTTTATCATAATTTCGAATCAATTTTCTTAGCAAGAAATATTCAAACTTTTATTAACAGTCGTCCGGAGCTTCGATTTTAGTAAACTTATTGTCAAACTGACCGGCTCGATAAGACGGGCCCAATGATATCAAAGTTAGTCCAATCTGAGTCAAATCAAGCCCATATCAAGTCATTAAACTATTATTAGAAGATTTCTGGACAAATTTGAAAGGTAAAACAGATGACAAATCTAGCAATGTTATAGTAAAATCGACCGTCTCGACAAGGAGCCCAATATCACTCAATTACGACATCATTAAGGCACTCAAATGTCTATTAATTGTCGTTTGAACGAGTGAAGCTTTTTGAATCATCCCATCAAAATAATTCATATTTTTGCATTAATTGCACTCAGAACATTATAAATAGAGGCCCTCCCCTTTCATGAGGGGAGGCTGAAGCCTAGAGAGAGACTGAGACTTTGAGGAGCTGCAGTTTAGCATCACCGCCGATTGCCGTCGACCACCGCTGACCGTCGTCGACCGTCGCCAAATTTCGTTGACCCCCGCCTACCGCCGTCGACATCCATCAACTGCAGTAAACCGTCGTCGACCACCGCCGACCTCCGTCGACCACAAACCAACCGTTGTTAAGCATCACCAACCAGACGCCGATAGTCGACGCTGTAATATGAAAAATATAGTTATATTTTGCCGTCTGTGGGACAGAGGATTTTTTTAATCATCAATCAATAGTGAATTTTCGCAACTGACCAAACCCCATCGTTTTTCTCTTTCCGGGTTTTCCACATAAAAAATTCTGGAGTCGTCACTGTCTGTTTCTCTTTAATCTGTGTGTGTGATAAATTCTAATACAACACTAAGACGATAATTCATCACTCTTCCGCCGCAAATTTTCTAGCACGCATCAATTATGAAAATAAAAACTATATGCATATATAAAAATATTTCTGTTTTAAATAAAAATAAATCATAACTATATTCTGATACTTCATTGAAATCACTTTGGAAAAGTGAAATAGACCTTTCATTAAATTTTTATAAATTATACTTATTTTCTTAAAAAAAGTCATTAATCATAAAGTATAATCTGATTTAAAATATTCACATTCAGATGCAAAGGAATTTTAAGGGCATTTAAAATACTTAATAGATTGAGCTATGTGAGAAGTTGGTGGAGCACACATGTTGCCTCCACCACTTAAGACATATATATATATATATTATATAAAGTTTGTTGGAGTGATAAATATATATTGAATATTATGATTCTATCCTGTATAATATGGAATTTAATGAATTCTTTCAAGGTCAATTCAAGACTCTGGTACTAAAATAAAAGTATTATGGGCAGCATTGTGGATTGATGCTAAAAGATATCTTCGTAGCTGTCCCAAGTTCTTAGCTTTTTTTTTGAAGTAAAAGAATAATAACAAAAGGTAAGAAAAACTCATAACTTATTTTTGCTCTCATCAATCTATATGTTTAGATAAAGATTAATTGTAATTATTATTGTGTGCAGGAAGATTCACGGCAATTGAGTGATATTTTAATGTCTTAGCATTCTATGATGATCCATCACACGTAAAATATTTTAAAAGTAACATGAGAAGTCATCCAATTTTTTTATGTAGACAAAACCTAGAAAAAGATAAAATCACAGAGCTTAGCCCTAACAAAATATTTCAGTTAAAGTGTGCAGTTACAATATATATAT